TGTTATTTATATTATTGTAATTTTTCTATTTGTTTTGGATTATTAAACTTATTCTGATTTGGCAATACCAATTTTTTTATTTCTTAATGCTTCTTTTTATGAATTGCAAACAAAAATGTAGGTGTGCAAATACTTTTTTGCCCACTGTATCTTCTTACTGATAATATACAGTGACAAGCGAATAAGCTCAGAAATAATAAGTAAGTCGCTTGCAGCATAAAGCTAACTTTTTTTTATAAACTTCTAATCTTATTTCTTCAACAAGACATCCGATGTTTATTACATAGCATGAAAAACTGAAGATTTTATATGCAGTAAATCAATAAAGTATTAAGGCACAAAATGCTTTCTAACTTTTTTTGGGGGAAAGAATAATTAAATACTTAATTTAAACGGAATACTTTTATTGCATGTCATGTCTTAAATCTGATCGAAATCGGGAAATCTTAAAAATATTTGAAAGTAAAGTTAAATTTTATATTTTTCGTTTACAAACGAGAAAGCTATAAAGTTATTGTCAAAGAAAGTATTCGCGCCCAAACATATTATTAAAAGAAATCTTTAAATTATTCTAATAACGTACCGAATCACCCTTCCTTTTCATGAATTCAATAAATTTTCTATGTTTGGATTTCATTAGATTTTGAGAGAGATCTGCATTTATTTTTTTACCATTTTCAGGTGAGTTTCCCTCCAAGTGCATTTCTGTTGGTGTGGTTTATTTGCTTATGGCAAAGCACTCGAGAGCTATCTCCCTAGGGGAAGGGGTGCCTTCATGTAGACTTGTGTGGCTCGTATACACGTTACTCATGGAGAAAACCACGAAAGCGCCCATGCAGCGAGCCCGTTCGCGGGATTCAAACCTCGGCCCGAACTACCAGGGTTCAAGAATTTTACCGCTCGGCCGCTGGTTGGCTGCATTTTTGTTGCAAATTTTGTTCTGGTTAATTTTTTCTTGTAGATGACCTCCGAATATACTCAATGGGAATGAAAAGTCTTGATTAAACACAAGCTTTTTGATTATATAGGTATAGGCGTATAAAGTCCACAGTTTGCAATTATGAGCATTATTTACTTCGGATCGTTGTCTTGATAATTTTTTTTTTTTTTTTTTTCCTGCGAAATATGCCAATTTAATTGTGTGCTGTATTTCAAATTTGGTTTTTAAATATTCAGATATCTAAAATTATCAATTGTGTTATTAATAAATTGTAGAATTTAAACGCCATAAGCGCTCATATAGCCTACACCAGGCGACTACTTCCCCATTGTTTTACTGAAGGAGTAAGATTCTTCATTTGAAGTTCAGTATTAGGTTTCCCCCACGCCATTTGCCTTAAATCACCTCTAAAATATTAAATTTACTTTCACTTGAAAATGTAGCTAAATTTTAAAATTTCCATTCGGGCGATCCACCAGCGGCCGAGCGATAAAAGCCGCTGAATACTGGTAGTTCGGTCCAGGATTCGAGTCCCGGCGAACGGGATCGCCGCATGGGCGTTTTCGTGGTCGATGTGTCACGTTACACATGGTCGTCGTCCATGTGTAACGTGGATACGAGCCAGTTTCCCCACCTCCACTTGGTATCCCTCCTTTTCCGCGTAGTGTTTAAGGGCGAAGCACGTAATAAGTAAAAAAAAAAGCCTTTCATTCGCTGTACTGAGAAATGGATTTTTCTAGCTATTCGGGCATAAAAGTTGCATTTTTTCAACCTATTCCTAAGTTTCTGCATTACTAGATTCGCTAAATGTTCATTGTAGATTTAAGGTCAATTTTATAACTTCATTGGTTGTAGAATTATAAATCATTTCTAACGACCCACTTTTTTCAGTTAATATCCTTGGGTGCCATGTCCGTGGTTTGGTTTGAACAAATTTGTTTCACAATATTTCAGAATTAATTTGAACAGAAGATTTTATTTCAAATTCAGCTATTTTCTTTAGATCATTAATGATTCCAATTAAAAATTGCAAGTTTGCTTGCAGTTCTTTGACCCATGCTAACAAAACAGCTTCTAAACCTTAAACTGTATCTTTCCCAGGTTTAAAAACATTCTTCCAGGTGTTTTATAAGAAAAACCTGCTAGAATTCGCGCTTTATAACATCTGTACTGCAGTGCCTTAATACTATTTTTACCTTAACTTAGTATTTAAAATCTCACTTTAGTGTTATTTAATATTATTCCTGGTAATAGATTTAGTATGGTATTTAAACACAGCAATGAAAAATATTTAGATTTGGTACAATGTCTGAATTTTGATCGGTAAGTGTTTGAAAGTTTCTTAAGCCCCCATAACGTTTTTCTGAATCACTATATGCAAATGTATTTCATGACACTTTTTATTAAAACGTTTTGGAGATGGAGACGGATTTCGCTAACTGTACACTTCCACACAGGAACTTGTCCTCAGTACTTTTTGAAGTTTATGAAATATATTTCATCATAGTTAATTTAAATCTTTGAAAGGCAATGATTTGTGGCAACGTAAATAGGAAACATTTTAAAGGATTTTATAGAAAGTGCAAGAGATTTATGCAAGAGCATTTTGCGACATGGATAGACTCTGCCGGCATAGGTTTGATTATTTTACAATTGTAAAGTAGTCAAGTGATAAGTGGATTCTTTATGGAAGCATGACTGACTTTATGAGCAAAACTGGCTCGTATTCATGTACGCGCAGATGACGAAAATTCCATGTAACCAGCCAGTGCAGTCATACGGAACCGACCGCGAAACAAATTATTCAGTTGGGCTACTAGTTCACTATATGCGCAAAACAATTTGAGCATCTTAAATGCTATTAGTACCAATTAAACAGGTGAACTGAAGGCCAAATTATCTCATTGCACTGAGTGACAATGTAAAATGAGAGAACCTACAGAGAGACATAAAAATGACTCCAAATACCACATAGCAGTTTCAAGAAAAAAACAGGGCATTTTGTACTGAAAATGTACTGTTAATTGTTGATAAATTGAAGCTTCTCAAGAGCATCGATTCTCAAGTTACTTTATCAAACCGATTTACTAGAAACTACAAAATATTAAAAATAAAGCAACACGACTCTTGACGTGTTTAGATCGGCCGAGCCACAGGTCGAATATTTCAAACCACTAAGTACTTGAACCTGTCCTGGCTTCCGTGATTTTCATGTGCAATTAAACTGCAGGCCCATTTCCTTCAAATATATCCACGAAATCATTCCTCCCCCGCTGGCGCGTTTTGGAATTCGCTTGGTCGCAATTAGTCTAATCCCAACATATTTATGACAGGAATTTACGAAGAAAACGGTCCTCATCTTTAACTAGATACTTTTTTTAGTCACAAGGGCTGTTCCACTAATTCTTACCGAGCTGTTTTAACCAACGTTGTCATTGTGAGATTTGAAACTGTCCTTGTGGAACTCGCAAGGTTACCTCTAATGGTGCATCTACTTGATGCAGGAAAATTTGACTGCTAGTTGAAGTGTTAGGGCAAAATAGAAAGTATATTCTTGCAGTGTATTCTCAGTTAGCACCAATGCATTTTAGCATCGATCATAGCATCGATCGATAGTTTCTGGAAAATGCTGGTCCTCGAAACAGAATTATTTTAAGAAATGAGACTTCAAATTTAATGCGGATTAATGGAAGATTAAAAAATATATTCAAACCCCATACTTTATAATACCGTAACCAAGAATGTTCTGGGGGCCAGATTAAGAAACGAGTTAGATGAATAATTAGTTTGTTGCAAATGCATTCCACTGTAATTGAGAATATCTATCGGGCATATTAGTTTTAGCTCACTTGCATGTAAACTGTATTTTCCAACGACTTAACTTGAATAACGCACCTTTACATAAGATTTCTTTAAGAGAAACACTTTAAATCCGAGCTGTGGTATGAATTTATGCCAACTTTAAAAGAAACTTTAAATCTGAGGTGTGGTATGAATTTATGCCAAGTGTTTTGGACAACTACATGTACAAATTTACGGATCCTGTATTTCACCATTCGACAGCTATTCTTCACCCTTCGCATAATTTTGCAAAACTCCATGCATAAAACTCAGCATTACATAGGAATGCAAAATATGCAAAGATGCCTTGCGGGCAAAATAAACTATTAGAGACATCCAACACTTCAAAATTTTATGCCAGCTTATCAGAACAGTCATTTAATGCGAGCATTTCTCCTTAAAGTGAAGTTTTGCAAATTAAAGGCCAAAACTCATTTTACTCTACGCATAATTGGCGAAATTATGCTTCAAGATCTGTAAAGATTGTGGATTTATACCATTTTTGTCGAAAATATCTGAAAATTAACTTTGTGGTTTTCTTAAGAGTCTTCAATCAGAATTCACGTGATCGACAAAAGTATGCTTCATTTGCTTCAATGTGTAATCGAGTATCTTACGCACTTCGTACGATTCAAATCTTCAAAGCAAGAGTTCAGCATATTTTGAATTATCGACCAAGCGTCTCTACCGTGAATATTCGTAGGTGTATTGTATGTTCATTAAATTTGATAAATATTTAATGATTTAAAATTTAGTCGGGCGTGATGCCATATCTCTAAAAGAACTATTTGTGCAATATTTCATGGACAACTTTACATATCCTAGTGTGGTTACTTCAAGTATTCTTTCCTTAGACAGCAGTTAAGACTGCCACGTGGCATACCTTGCGTTAAACATAATTCAAGTACAGTGAATACTTAATCTACAAAAAATATAGAGCAAAATTTATTACCCCACTCGAATTTCTTGTGTGTTGCTTCAAAATCCTGAAGTAGCCAACACTTTAGTGTTTTTGTATTTAAAGAATTAAAATCAGTTAAAATGAATGAATTAAAGTTCTTTCCTGATCATTTATAATGAAAAAGCATGAATCAGTTTCATCTAAATTCAAGTTGAAATAAACCATTTGATTTTCACGAAGGACTAAATCGAGAATCATTTAGATACCTCAGTGATCAACTAATCTAATTTCTGGGGTAATGCAATAAAACGCAAGGCCTAAATACATATTTATACTTTATTGCACATAAGGCTATACGAATTTAATTTAGTAAAGACAAGTTTCATAATTTTAACATCTGTATTTTCAAGAATTTCAAATTCTGAAGTTGAGTAATAGTGGAAAAGCCTTGTATTCTTTAAAAATAGTAAATTAAAAAGTAGTTAAAGTAAAATGCGATGCAGATATGAAATCTTAATTTTACTCGTCTTAACGACCACTCTGTGAATCTTCCGCTTGAGCTTTCTTAACCATTTGGTAGGATTCTTCATCGCAAGAAGAATATTGCGATAGACAAGACGACAAACCCTGACTTCTGCCTCTTTGTAGAACTTGATTGTACTCCGATACTTTACTTCCAGGTGGGAAATTGGTTAAAGACCTGTAAAGAAATATTTTAGCAATTAATAACGGTTCCGTGATACTGACAATTTAGTGCAAAAATAAATTGCCTTGTCTATTAGTCACATGCATTATTGTTGGTATTCTAAGTTACATTTTGAAGTTTCAACTAAATGAGAAATTTTTCAAATCTGTTCACGTCTGTTTATTAGTTTGATTAAAACAAAGCTCACGAGGACTATATACCTAAGGAATACTACCTTCGTTATGACTTTCCTAGAGAAGACCGGCTCATATCCACGTTACTCGTGGATAAAACCACAAACGCCTATGCAGCCAACCCGTTCGCCTGGAACTGAACCCAAGTAGAATTACCAGTGTTGAGCGAACTTACCGCTCAGACGCTGGGCCTTTCAGATGCGATTGAAAGCTGAAGTTCATTATACTCGCTACTTTCATACGGCTGAAATGGTATGTGCATTTCCTGCCTCCATTCCTTTTGAAAGAATGTTACTTGAAAATGACAAGCCACACAAAGGCTATCTGCCCAAGAGAAGGTAGGCCTTGGTGGAGGGCTTTGTAAAGGAAACTGGTTGATATTTATGTTACAGATGACGGAAACTAACCAGGCCGCCAGCACATTCACTTGGAATCAAACCGGAGTCGAACTCCTAGTATACAGAGACTTGATCACTTGCGTCGTTGAAAGAATGCGCGATTGCGATGAGTTTTTCTGGGCGTATTGTACATTTCCAGAGCTTTTTTTTTAACAAAATTTGATTAAAACAAATGAAAAAAAGCTACTTGTTATAAATAAACGATTGACCATCTGCAGATTAAAGTAATTCAGCACGATCATTACAATACTAAACTGAGAAAATGTGATAAATTAAAAAAATTTTGGTTTAAGTTTAGTTAAGCCAAAATTAAACTTTAATTTTAGTTTAAGTTTTACTGATGCAAGCTGTTTAAAACTTGACTAGAGTTTGAGATTCCTTTAAGCCAATTCCAGAAATGAAGGCTAACATGAAGTTTTTAAAAAATACACAATGAAGGAATTGCATTAAATAGTCCTCAAATTTAATATGAAGCATAGCTAAACACAGTTTTAAAAAGGATTACCCAATGATTTCACTTATGGTTTGTCCAAACTCTCCAGCGCTATTTGGATTTGCTCCCAATTCACAAACCAAGCGAGAAATACATCTGCTTTCATCAGTTTCAGCCAAGAGAGTGAAGAAACTTTCAGCTTCTTCAGTGTTCATTGCTGGATGACCTTCATCTCCTTGACCATTCATTCCCGAGAAGGACTGGGAACCAGAATCCATGTTTGAAAAAGACTGAGGGCTGTTGGGCGGGAAGGACATCGACTGTTGCGGTGACTAACATTAAAAGAGATAGGAATTATAGTCACAATTGATACAAAATGCAGATTTTAGAACATTAAGTTTTTTAAGATTGCTAATGTTAGTATTAAGATTTTGCACGAGAGAATGTGAAGCTTTATTATAATATGCAGCACTGATCAAATTAATACACTATACGGTTAATCTTTGCATTATGGTAACTTGGCAATTTTTTGGCGACCAACCCTGCTACAGCAACCTGCTAGTTTTTGTTTGGACGCCATTTTGTTTTCACGAAGTAAAGGCATGTTTTTTGTTTTACTCAACATTTTCCAACAATCTGCTAGCCGAATTACGCTTATGCTAGAACTTTTATGGAACAAAAGTGCTTAATCATGACGAAGATTAGGTGTCAAATTGGGAGAAAGTGCAGAATCGCAAACTGCTTGCCGCGTTGCACATACACGGTACAGTAGAAGTCCATTAGTCCGGCATCCAACAGTCCGGAATGCCCGATAGTCCGGCATCGCTCCGGAAAATTTTAAAAATTTTGGTTTTCTCCAAAAGTGTGTCTTTAAAGCAAATAAAACCGCTCGAGAGCTATTCGGAAGTTTTCGGGGTAGTTCGAGATCATCCGGAAGCGCTCGGTATTGTTCGGAAACAATTAGCGGCCGGCTAGTCTCAGCTGTCACAACAAATTCAGGTGCAGTGCAGCTCCGTTAATCAATCACGAAGCGTCTTCGCCATTTTTTTGTGCGTTGTTGTTTTGTGTCCTTCACACATCGCAGTAAAACGTAACTTTTGAAACTGTTTATAAAAAAAGTTATTTTCGTTCTAACTGTACAGTGACCATGTTTTCAAAACCTAAGCCTTCGAGTTCAAAAGGAGAGAAACGAAAACACGTAACACTGACTCTCAATCAGAAACTAGAAATCATCAAACGGCTAGAAAAAGGCGAGAATAGAAATGTTTTAATGAATGAGTTTAATATTGGCTCATCAACTATTTATGACATTAAAAAAAAAAAAAGATGAACTAATGAAGTTTGCTTCTCAATCGGTAACAACTGAAAAATTGGCTTCTAGACAAACATTAAAAAACCAAAACTGGAACAGCTAGATAGTGTATTGTTCAAATGGTTTAGTGCAGTACGTTTCTGAAGGAAAGCCGGTAACAGGGCCAATGATTGTTGAAAAGGCAAAGAAATTCGGCCAAGATTTAGGAGTTGCTGAAAGTGAATGTAATTATTCTGATGGTTGGCTCAGAAACTTTAAGTTTCGGCATGGAATTCGAAGACTTGATGTAAACTGGGAGAAACCCTTTCAGCAAACCAAAACTCTGCAGAAAAATACAAAGACGAGTTTGAGAAAATCGTGGCTGATAATGATTTAACACCTGAACAGATTTACAATGATGATGAAACAGGGCTATTGTGGCGATGTTTACCAACATCTACACTAGCTGGGGGAGGAGAAAAAGCAGCCAAGGGTTTTAAAAAAAAACAAGACAGATTAACCGTTTTGCTATGTGCTAATGCGTCTGGAAACCACCGAGTGACCCCTTTTGTGATAGGTAAATCTGCAAAACCCAGGGCTTTTAAGAATATTACACACTTGCCTGTCCAATACGATGCTCAATCAAATGCGTGGATAACTGCCGCCTCTTTAAAAGACTGGTTTTTTCAACCACTTTGTGCCTGAGGTCAAGGAATCCTTCAAAAGCCTTGGTCTACCAGAAGATACTAAAGCCATCCTTCTTTTGGACAATTGCAAAGCCCATCCGCCAGTAGATGAGTTAGTTTCTGGAAATATTGTTGCTACTCTGCTCCCACCTAACGTAACATCTTTGATTCAACCCATGGACCAAGGGGTTATTCAAAATTTTAAATGCTTTTATAGAAGGTCTTTTATTCAAGGCCTGTTAAATGCCGACTGTAACGTGACTGATTTTCAAAAAACGTTTACAGTAAAAGATGCCGTCTATGCTATTGCACAGTCTTGGAACCAGGTAAATACAACACTCCAAAAATGCTGGAGAAAACTTTGGCCAGCTGCAAACCCTGCATCTGACCTAACTCTACAGACCGATGAGGATGAAAACCATCAAGACGCTCTGATTAAAGTTTTGGATGTCGTTAGAAGTACTGACAATCCCTTGAAAAACCTGCCTGAACATGAGGTAGAGGAGTGGCTTTTAATCGACGAGAATGAGCCTGTTGAACAAGAACTAACCGATGAGGACATTATCAACATTGTAGTAAACCCTCAGCTTACTCAAAATCTTGAAAATGATTCGGATGCCGAAACGGAAGAAAAGGAAAAAATCAGCTGGGCAGAAGCTGCAGAATCACTAAATAATTTTTGTCTCTTTTGCCGAGGCTAGTACTAGCTACAGTGCTTCAGAAATTATTGATTTCCATATCATTAGAAATAAATTTTATACTAAACGCCAAAAGTCAAGAAAACAAAAAGACATTCGTGACTTTTTTAAATCTAAGTGAAATATGTTTTACAGTACGTGTACATACATTATATGAAATGTAAAATAAACTGTTGTATGTATTTGCATACTGTATTTTTAGTTTAATTATTAACCTGATTGTTCTTATAATTACCGCCCGATAGACCGGAATTTTCGGTAGTCCGGCACCGAGCCGGTCCCGAACGTGCCGGATTATCGGACTTCTACTGTATCCATTTAAACGTCGACCTATTTTCACTTAAAAAAACATCCCAGAATTGCACGAAAATGGCATTGCGCACACTCTTGACTTTATCCATGTACACTGCTAAAGTCCTAGCTAGTAACCTTTATCGCCTTACCAAAATGTCGCCAAACTTCCTGTTACCATATTCCAAAGATTAGCCCCATATACATATAATTATACAAAGCAATTAGCTGAAACAAGAAAAACTTAGCATGAGCGAAGCCTAAAAACTCAGGTATTTAGCAGGCACGAGATACAGCGATTGTTGGCTTCGATTTAGAAATAGAGTTTTAAAATCCTTCCGATATATATATTTCGATGAAGCTTGAACTTAAATATGCGATTCTTTTGTTACCAGCGATTAAATTATCAACTTTTAAACATCTTTGAAAATTAATATCGGATTGGATCATTTCAATCGTTGCAAACCACACTAGAGATGTACACTTCTGTGGAACGTGAAGAATTGATATAAACTAGTCTGCGTCAAGACGAGGTAAAACTCGGGCAGCCAATTTAACACTCGGCAATACAACCAGACGTGAATAGCCAATCTTTGTGAGCGGCTGGTTTTTCGTTCTTGTTACAAATACGGAGCTTCCGATTTCATTGTGCCCATTATATATATTGTTATTCAATTTTAACCCCCGAAATACATTCAAGTTAATTGGTCACACGTAAGCTGAATTTCATACTTACTCGTAATGAACTTTGTGGATAAAATGAGCCAGGAAAATTAGAATTCGGGAATCCGGGGAAAAAGTTTCCTCCAGCGGATGGATTCGAAAAGCCTGCAGGCTGAGCAAAACTAGGAGCAGAGTATTGTATAGGCCCTTCTGGCGCCTCTGGTTGCTCCTGAATCATAGGAGACATAGTAGTCCTGCGGCGTCGAAATATTCCGAAGAAGCAGGAACCTGGTTTGTTTAAACTTAGCAAAGTCAGCGACGTCATAACCAAAGATGATAACGTTATTGATTGAGCGAAGGAGATTAATACTCCAAATATTGTTAGATGAAAGAAATTCATTGTCACCTGGAAGGAAAAGTTGCATATAATTACAAAAAGTTTCTGCAAGTAAAAGCTATTTATGAAAGGTTTCGCTGAATGGGTAATATATGAAGTTAAGAATACTGCATTATAATAAACTATCAAAACATTACAGCATTTCTTGAAAATAACACCTCTCGCACTTTAAAATCTGAAATTAGTAGGTGAACATTTGATGAGATTTGGTTTTAATTAGTTCAGATTAGAAAAATTCTTATCTTAAATAGGCAGTTCAAATAATATACCAAATTACATACCAAACATAAATTTAATTTACTTACCTAAATTACAATGCAATATTATACTATGGTAAAGAAAGAAAAATTGGTAAAGTGTACATTACATTTATTCTCTGGCATCAGTATCAGTACACAGTGTACCAGATGCAAGTCTAAATTGAAGTTTCATTTAGGCGGGGCTATTAGAACTGGCAGTATTTTACAGTTTATATACGTAACAATTACCTGTGAAGCTGATTTAAACAATAATTGTATTAGGTAAGAAACTTCCCCTCATTTTGCAATTTCATGTATTAAATTATTTAATTACAGGACCCTACCAAATTTTAGAACAAAAGTATTGAAAAAAGAGGCGAGGTGTTATTTAATAAATAAGAGATATTTGAATTCACAGAAATTCCTCAGTGTAAAGTAAGCCAATCAAGTGAAATAGTTTGCAAGTGATATGTATTCGCCAAGATTAATCAAATAAGCAGCTTTGCATTTTATGTCAAAAATTATTAAGATCCAATTAACCATTACAATATTTTGCTTGAAAGCATTGAAATTTTAATTCATATTACATTCAAGACTACTTGAAACGGCTTTCTAGGCGAATACTTACAGAACATTCTGAAGTCGCCCAGTGAGGCGATAGCGTTAATTCCGATAGTAAGGGACCACAAGAGTAACACTTAGTAAACGAAAACAATTTACTTTTCATAGATTAATTGGACGACAATAAATTAGGTTACGGCAAAACACACTGGAAATAATTTAATGAAGGCAAAGCTGAGGAAATTTACATTGTATACCCTTTCAATTCAGATTAGATTTATTCCAGTCTATATTCGATAACTTAGAATAACAGATAATCATAACGCGGATTTCTCATCCACCCACCCAAAGCAAGAGAAAAATGTGTTGGAGAGCGACGTCAGTACAATAGCTTAATTGAAAAATGAGAAAATTACGCTTTGTCAGACGCGTATAAAATTTACGTAGTTAAAACATACAATTAAAAAATTAAAAATTTACCATTTCTAGCATTACCTATATGCGTATAACAACTTTCTCGCATGGGAAAATATATGCTAGTTTAGGTTCGAAAACACTAATAATCCTAATATTAAGTTTAATACTAATAATAAGTTTGCATAAACACGTCATTACCATTAATTTATACTACGAAAATAATTTTTCCTCCCTCTTTTCTCTGAACTTTTACTGGAGTTGTATTATTGCCAGAATAAAATCAGCAGTACATAAAATACGTAAAGTGTGTTTATGGACCGTTTATAGCACTGTCGAGTCTTTTCAAAAGTTAATCGACGACTTATTGGGGAGTCAAAAGTTATTCTCGCGTTTTTGGCAGCGTGAGTGAGGCAGCTTCCCTAACCCCAGCATTGTTCAAGTAACAAATATACGCAATGCAAGATAAACTCTTTTTCATGAAACGACATCTTATAACGAGTTAACATCAAGCGAAGGAATGTAATGTTTTAACAGAATAATACTCAAAAGCTTAACTTCCCAAGTTGCGAAAGTCATAATTACATTTGATATTTATTTGTGTCATGAAGCAAACAAATCCTACCAACAGACAATGCAAAGTTTATTTATTTAATTCCTTAATTATTAGCAGCCTCATTTACTAAAAGTTAATTAAGAACTTTACTCCCGTAAAAATGGTACAACTTAATAGTAATAGCAATACAGCATTAACAACTTAAAAACACGAACCTTATTTATACTTGGGATATTTTATATACCCTATTTAATCATCCATAACTCAGTATTGGTAAAACATATAAATACCTTAATTCTTCCGTATTACAGTCGAAACACAGAGCCAGCAGTTTCCAAAAATCGACAGGTGTATGGAATAAATAAAGTATTCTGTTGTACTAAGAAGCGTTCTTGGATATGATGTCACAAGGCAGCCCGAATGAAAAGGTTTTTTGATAGAATTTGATTCTCTGAAAGCCCCCTTGCGGCACTTTGTTTAAGCATTATAATGATAAGTTAAATGTAAATTTTGATCGGGTGCTATCTAAAAAAATACCCACGGGTAAAATTAATTCTTCTGATGAAATAAATAATCCCAATTTTGGCAGTTTCTTTTTCAGTTAGAGCATCTTATTAATGCGAATTAAAGAAGATAAGTGCACATTTTTTTCTTTAATTTGCGTCAATGAAAAGCTGAGAGATCTTTCAGATCTTGGTTTTGCAAATAATATATATCTCTGACTATTGTATAACACCAGATCTCAAAGTGAACTAGGGATTCGATTTACTGGTATTTTCAAACCACCTGAAATTTATGAATTAAATTTCAGTTGTCAGCTAAATTTTAAAGTAATGGTAATATATAAAATGTAAATAAGCCATTGCTAGTAAATTATCACATATGAAGAACCTAAGTTAAATTTAATAGCATTATAGAATTACATTCCGACAATTGTTTAGTATTTACTAGAAAATCCTCAAAAACATTCAATAATGTCCAAAAAAAAGTGAGGATTCAGAGGCAAATTCGACGAAACTCTGTTTAAGTAGCTACTAGGATTGAAAAGCGAGTAGCACCTGCAGAGAACAAAGTAATTCTATTCGGCCTTCTATAAGTATATAAAAGATCAATCTATTCTTCCCATGTGCCCTTGTGGTATATGGTCAGTATATCCAATTAAGAACTAGAAAAAACTGTACTCGATTCTCGGCGAGGCACGGTTGATTTTCATGAATTGATATTGGGGGAAAAAACAACTACTCGACGCTTTCGTTGTAATGTGGTTCAGATAACTTATTACCACTCTTTACATTGCTTTGATCTACTTGGTGTTGCCTCCTCCCCAGAGTTGACAATCGAGTGTATATGAAGAAAGGAATCTAAGGAACTAAATGCAGGTATTGTATTTTTAGTGTACAATTGTCCACATATTCAGCTACGATCTCAATTTCCTCTGACAGCACGGCTGTATTTTCATCGCTCATATTCACAGAGTTGCACACATGTACATGCAAGCAAACAAATAAATAAACAATAAAATGGCTAAAGACTACAAATGACGATCAATATTGTCATATCGCATTTCCTTACAACTTCCTCAAAACAAATTGTGCGTTGAATTACTGACAGTTTACTCGCGTTATAACTACCCTCTAGGGATCAACGAAAAACACCATTTTATCAAATTGTCGCTAAAAATTGCCTCTTTGTTATCCCATCGAAATTTAAAATAACTGAGGGAAAAAAACTCTTCATTGTAATTTATATGCTTAGATGTAGTTAAAATAAGCTAGTTATGAAATACGAAATCACACTAGTGATTGAAAGGTAAAAACCGCTTAACTCAGGCAGTCGCTGATGCTTTCACCAGAGTCTTTGATTTGATGAGCAAGATATTCAAATTTTGTAATGTGCTGCACTACTGTTTCATTGCATTCCATTTTCAAATAATGAAATTTGTCAAGCAGCAACATTTTGTTGAAGTCAGATTTCAATTTAAAGATACCGTCCAATTTTTTAAGCATTTCATTTGATGAAGATAAATTATCTATAAACATAACTTGTAAAAATTCTATCGCAGACAATATTGTGAACATTGCAATCGCGTCGTCTTTTCCCCATTTCGCTAATTACCGCTTCATCATTTTCTGGCGTTAATTCCGTTGGCTACACAAAATACTCCTTTTGTCTTAAGGACACAAGTAATTTGAAATTTCCATTGTGAATAATTTCGTCCGTTGAATTTATTTGTAGATGACACAATGAATGCTTACTTTTGTTTTCTGAATTCTAAACTGAGAATATAATGGATCGACTTAACGTTCATATAGCGTTACTTCGCGCTAATTTGGGCCCATAACCTCTTCATGTTACTGATTTACATAAAAATTTATTTAAGCTTAAAGTGGAACAAAAGTAACGGCAATTCGATCCCATAATGACAGCTCTTGCCTCGTCCAGAATAGCTGCGAATTGTTACCAGGTGGGAGAACTGCTTATTCCGTTTTGAAATTGCCATTAAACATGCATTTCATTGAAACTCCCCCATCCAACATTTCCAAAGCATTCGGCATGAAAAAAGTATTCCAGAAATGCAAACTTATTGTTTGGGATAAATGCACAATGGCACACAAAATATTGCTCTAAGCTCTTAATCGGTAATTGCAATATTCGCATGAAAACATTAGACCATTTGGGAACGCATTAATATTGCTTGCAGGAGAGTTCAGACAAGATTGCACAGTCATTAGGTATTTTTTGAAAGCAGAAAACTAAAGAAATGAGCAATGCCCTCGTTGGACTCGAACCACGGACCTCTCGAATACGCGCCGAGTGTGCTGACCGTTACACCACGAAAGCATGCTAAGAAGGCGGAAGAAATACCTTATATAATCCCCCTTTTAAAGGGCGACTGGGGATTAGGGGACCCTCATCGCCAAACCCTGCTGATGGAGAATCATCATCCACCACCTCTTTTTAATTCGGTAGCCTCTGTAGAATTATTAGGTTATTTTTGAAGCAGGAGACGTGATAAATGTGCAATGCCCTCGCGCTCGAATCACGGACCTCTCGAACACGCGAGTGTGCTAGCCATTACACCACGAAAGCGGGAGAAATACCTCATAACATTACCTGTAATTCCTTGATCTACATCAGCGGACAAAATAAATGCTTGCCTGATATACTGTACTTTTTGGCGACACGTAAAGACGCCGAAATTAACTGCGAGCAGAATCAAAAAGTGAAAACCTCATAGA